TTGATACACGGCGCCCACTTCTGCCCCGTGCGCCGCCACCGACAGCACGCCGGCGCCAATGGCCGCCTTGCTGAGGCAAACCGCTGTGGGCAAAATTCCGCCGCGCCGGAACTTGTTGCTGGGAATCGACGAGCCCACACTCAGGCTCTCTGTGCTGCTGCATCCGCTCGCAGTGCTGTCCTGGCTGCAAACCTCCATATCCTTTGGCTTCATCTCCATCGTGGCTTCTTGGCGTCTCTGCTTTTGCAGCGGGAGGTGAGTGCAGCTGTCGACTTGAGCCTCAACCGAAAGTTGCCTCCTGCGACCCTTCTGACTGCCATCTTAGCGTTCCCTGACATCAACACTGTAGGCGCTAAGACGAGTGCATCAAGCAAAGACTACGGAAAAAGTGAATTACATACATTCAAAGACGCGGTGGGGGTGGCTCGAGAATCCACAATGCTATTCTGTCGGCAGCACTTGCACAAAATGCAGACTCTGGAAGATAATTTAACGGTGTGGCTAAAAAAGGCGACCGGACAGTTGTCAGACTATTTTGAGTTCGCCTTTGTTTGTTGTCTCTCTCTCTCTCTCTCTCTCTCTCTCTCTCTCTCTCTCTCTCTCTCTCTCTCTCTGTTTCCATGCTCAAGAGCAAGCACGCGAGTGCAATGCGTGCGCAGTCGAGCCGGTTACTTGGAAAGCCAGCGCTGTGGCTGACATCGATGCATGGACCCTCCCTTGAGAATCCACGCCATGAACCAAGCCCCTGCTAAACACCCCCTGTACAAGAGGGGGGCTTTGCGACCCTGGGTGTGTTCAAAAGGGGGAGGAATCAAAGAGTCTCCCTGAAGGAGGAGAAGCAAATGTTCTAACCTATGCAAGCGAGATTGGTCGCAGAAAGCCATGCAAAGACTCCTGCTGGATGACCAGCGCTGGAGTCCAATTCAGCCGCCAGCTACTTGTACAACTGCCTAAGCCGCTTTTATGGCAGAGTAGGTGCCGAACACGAAGAAGAAGACGCCGAGCGACAGCAATGCCAGGCTGAAGAGAATCTCTGGCGCCAGCCAAGAGAAGTCCTTGCCCTTCCTGCGGAGGGCCAGGATCCACAGCGGGGGCACCACGTAGGAGATGTATGCAGAGGCGAAGGCGCCGATAAAGTCCAGGATGGTGCGCAGGGAGGTGACCACCACTGCGATCAAGATGGCAACCGCCACGGACCCCAAAGCGCAGGCGATATCCAGCCACCGCGCCAGCGACCGGCCGCAGCACCCGTCGCCCGTCACTTCCTCCTCCTTCGCGGCTTTGGCCGGAAGCCCCCGGAGCTTGCGCACCGCATAGGCAGAGAATTGGCGGATGGGGTACACGTGGAACTGGAAGCACGTGAGGACGCTGAACATCACCGCAAAGAGGGACAGCACCACGTGCCACTCCTTGCGCGCAGGCATCAGATCCAGGATCAGGGTGTCTTTCTGATTGTCGCCGACGCCAAATGCCAGCACTCCGAAGATGGACACACTCCCATAGAGCAGAAAGCAGAGGCTTGTGCTCAACAGAGCGACCTTGGTCATCTTGTGCACAGAGGGGGCGGGAGTCAGCTCCCCAGTGAGCTGCGGGACGTTGAACTGGTTGTTGTAGGCGAAGACCATGTTGTTGATGGAGTTCATGTAGGTGAACACCGTCGCGCCCGAGCCGGGCAGCAGGAAGCTTTCCACATCCACGGACTCGTCGATGCCGTGCTTGGCCCAGTACCACACCACCGAACCCACCAACAGCAGCAAGGCCCCCACGCTGATGGCTGCCAGATGTCGCATGAAGCCCACGTGCTTGGCCAAAGCCAAAGGGCCGCAAACGAAGACGCCCACCAGCACCACAAAGATGCTCCGAGCCCTGTCATCCGCTTGGAAGATCACCTGGAACACTTGGCCACACACGATGAGATAGCCAGCAGCGGAGCCCAGGCAGTTGCACACGTTGATGAAGCCTGTGAAAAGCGACATGGCCGGGTGAAAGAGCTCTTCGCAGATGTCCTCGTAGCTCCAGCAGCCAGTCTCCAAGCTGGCGTTCGCGATCATGCGGATACTGGCCAAAGTGAGTAGCCCGCCCAGGATGAGGCAAACCATTTGATACACGGCGCCCACTTCTGCCCCGTGCGCCGCCACCGACAGCACGCCGGCGCCGATGGCCGCCTTGCTGAGGCAAACGGCGGTGGGCAAAATGCCGCCGCGCCGGAACTTGTTGCTGGGAATCGACGAGCCCACACTCAGGCTCTCTTTGCTGCTGCATCCGCTCGCAGTGCTGTCCTGGCTGCAAACCTCCATATCCTTTGGCTTCATCTCCATCGTGGCTTCTTGGCGTCTCTGCTTTTGCAGCGGGAGATGAGTGCAGCTGTCGACTTGAGCCTCAACCGAAAGTTGCCTCCTGCGACCCTTCTGACTGCCATCTTAGCGTTCCCTGACATCAACACAGTCTGTTTAAAGGCGAGTGCATCAAACAAAGACTACGGAAAAAGTGAATTACATACATTCAAAGACGCGATGGGTGTGGCTCGAGAATCCACAATGCTGTTCTGTCGGCAGCACTTGCACAAAATGCAGACTCTGGAACATAATTTGACGGTGTGGCTAAAAAAGGCGACCGGACATGCCTCCTGCGACCCTTCTGACTGCCATCTTAGCGTTCCCTGACATCAACACTGTAGGCGTTAAGACGAGTGCATCAAGCAAAGACTACGGAAAAAGTGAATTACATACATTCAAAGACGCGGTGGGGGTGGCTCGAGAATCCACAATGCTGTTCTGTCGGCAGCACTTGCACAAAATGCAGACTCTGGAAGATAATTTAACGGTGTGGCTAAAAAAGGCGACCGGACAGTTGTCAGACTATTTTGAGTTCGCCTTTGTTTGTTGTCTCTCCCTCTCTCTCTCTCTCTCTCTCCCTCTGTTTCCATGCTCAAGAGCAAGCACGCGAGTGCAATGCGTGCGCAGTCGAGCCGGTTGCTTGGAAAGCCAGCGCTGTGGCTGACATCGATGCATGGACCCTCCCTTGAGAATCCACGCCATGAACCAAGCCCCTGCTAAACACCCCCTGTACAAGAGGGGGGCTTTGCGACCCTGGGTGTGTTCAAAAGGGGGAGGAATCAAAGAGTCTCCCTGAAGGAGGAGAAGCAAATGTTCTAACCTATGCAAGCGAGATTGGTCGCAGAAAGCCATGCAAAGACTCCTGCTGGATGACCAGCGCTAGAGTCCAATTCAGCCGCCAGCTACTTGTACAACTGCCTAAGCCGCTTTTATGGCAGAGTAGGTGCCGAACACGAAGAAGAAGACGCCGAGCGACAGCAATGCCAGGCTGAAGAGAATCTCTGGCGCCAGCCAAGAGAAGTCCTTGCCCTTCCTGCGGAGGGCCAGGATCCACAGCGGGGGCACCACGTAGGAGATGTATGCAGAGGCGAAGGCGCCGATAAAGTCCAGGATGGTGCGCAGGGAGGTGACCACCACTGCGATCAAGATGGCAACCGCCACGGACCCCAAAGCGCAGGCGATATCCAGCCACCGTGCCAGCGACCGGCCGCAGCACCCGTCGCCCGTCACCTCCTCCTCCTCCGCGGCTTTGGCCGGAAGCCCCCGGAGCTTGCGCACCGCATAGGCAGAGAATTGGCGGATGGGGTACACGTGGAACTGGAAGCACGTGAGGACGCTGAACATCACCGCAAAGAGGGACAGCACCACGTGCCACTCCTTGCGTGCAGGCATCAGATCCAGGATCAGGGTGTCTTTCTGATTGTCGCCGACGCCAAATGCCAGCACTCCGAAGATGGACACACTCCCATAGAGCAGAAAGCAGAGGCTTGTGCTCAACAGAGCGACCTTGGTCATCTTGTGCACAGAGGGGGCGGGAGTCAGCTCCCCAGTGAGCTGCGGGACGTTGAACTGGTTGTTGTAGGCGAAGACCATGTTGTTGATGGAGTTCATGTAGGTGAACACCGTCGCGCCCGAGCCGGGCAGCAGGAAGCTTTCCACATCCACGGACTCGTCGATGCCGTGCTTGGCCCAGTACCACACCACCGAAGCCACCAGCAGCAGCAAGGCCCCCACGCTGATGGCTGCCAGATGTCGCATGAAGCCCACGTGCTTGGCCAAAGCCAAAGGGCCGCAAACGAAGACGCCCACCAGCACCACAAAGATGCTCCGAGCCCTGTCATCCGCTTGGAAGATCACCTGGAACACTTGGCCACACACGATGAGATAGCCAGCAGCGGAGCCCAGGCAGTTGCACACGTTGATGAAGCCTGTGAAAAGCGACATGGCCGGGTGAAAGAGCTCTTCGCAGATGTCCTCGTAGCTCCAGCAGCCAGTCTCCAAGCTGGCGTTCGCAATCATGCGGATACTGGCCAAAGTGAGTAGCCCGCCCAGGATGAGGCAAACCATTTGATACACGGCGCCCACTTCTGCCCCGTGCGCCGCCACCGACAGCACGCCGGCGCCGATGGCCGCCTTGCTGAGGCAAACCGCTGTGGGCAAAATTCCGCCGCGCCGGAACTTGTTGCTGGGAATCGACGAGCCCACACTCAGGCTCTCTTTGCTGCTGCATCCGCTCGCAGTGCTGTCCTGGCTGCAAACCTCCATATCCTTTGGCTTCATCTCCATCGTGGCTTCTTGGCGTCTCTGCTTTTGCAGCGGGAGGTGAGTGCAGCTGTCGACTTGAGCCTCAACCGAAAGTTGCCTCCTGCGACCCTTCTGACTGCCATCTTAGCGTTCCCTGACATCGACACTGTAGGCGTTAAGACGAGTGCATCAATGAATCAAGCAAAGACTACGGAAAAAGTGAATTACATGCATTCAAAGACGCGGTGGGGGTGGCTCGAGAATCCACAATGCTATTCTGTCGGCAGCACTTGCACAAAATGCAGACTCTGGAAGATAATTTAACGGTGTGGCTAGAAAAGGCGACCGGACAGTTGTCAGACTATTTTGAGTTCGCCTTTGTTTGTTGTCTCTCCCTCTCTCTCTCTCTCTCCCTCTGTTTCCATGCTCAAGAGCAAGCACGCGAGTGCAATGCGTGCGCAGTCGAGCCGGTTGCTTGGAAAGCCAGCGCTGTGGCTGACATCGATGCATGGACCCTCCCTTGAGAATCCACGCCATGAACCAAGCCCCTGCTAAACACCCCCTGTACAAGAGGGGGGCTTTGCGACCCTGGGTGTGTTCAAAAGGGGGAGGAATCAAAGAGTCTCCCTGAAGGAGGAGAAGCAAATGTTCTAACCTATGCAAGCGAGATTGGTCGCAGAAAGCCATGCAAAGACTCCTGCTGGATGACCAGCGCTAGAGTCCAATTCAGCCGCCAGCTACTTGTACAACTGCCTAAGCCGCTTTTATGGCAGAGTAGGTGCCGAACACGAAGAAGAAGACGCCGAGCGACAGCAATGCCAGGCTGAAGAGAATCTCTGGCGCCAGCCAAGAGAAGTCCTTGCCCTTCCTGCGGAGGGCCAGGATCCACAGCGGGGGCACCACGTAGGAGATGTATGCAGAGGCGAAGGCGCCGATAAAGTCCAGGATGGTGCGCAGGGAGGTGACCACCACTGCGATCAAGATGGCAACCGCCACGGACCCCAAAGCGCAGGCGATATCCAGCCACCGCGCCAGCGACCGGCCGCAGCACCCGTCGCCCGTCACCTCCTCCTCCTCCGCGGCTTTGGCCGGAAGCCCCCGGAGCTTGCGCACCGCATAGGCAGAGAATTGGCGGATGGGGTACACGTGGAACTGGAAGCACGTGAGGACGCTGAACATCACCGCAAAGAGGGACAGCACCACGTGCCACTCCTTGCGCGCAGGCATCAGATCCAGGATCAGGGTGTCTTTCTGATTGTCGCCGACGCCAAATGCCAGCACTCCGAAGATGGACACACTCCCATAGAGCAGAAAGCAGAGGCTTGTGCTCAACAGAGCGACCTTGGTCATCTTGTGCACAGAGGGGGCGGGTGTCAGCTCCCCAGTGAGCTGCGGGACGTTGAACTGGTTGTTGTAGGCGAAGACCATGTTGTTGATGGAGTTCATGTAGGTGAACACCGTCGCGCCCGAGCCGGGCAGCAGGAAGCTTTCCACATCCACGGACTCGTCGATGCCGTGCTTGGCCCAGTACCACACCACCGAAGCCACCAGCAGCAGCAAGGCCCCCACGCTGATGGCTGCCAGATGTCGCATGAAGCCCACGTGCTTGGCCAAAGCCAAAGGGCCGCAAACGAAGACGCCCACCAGCACCACAAAGATGCTCCGAGCCCTGTCATCCGCTTGGAAGATCACCTGGAACACTTGGCCACACACGATGAGATAGCCAGCAGCGGAGCCCAGGCAGTTGCACACGTTGATGAAGCCTGTGAAAAGCGACATGGCCGGGTGAAAGAGCTCTTCGCAGATGTCCTCATAGCTCCAGCAGCCAGTCTCCAAGCTGGCGTTCGCAATCATGCGGATACTGGCCAAAGTGAGTAGCCCGCCCAGGATGAGGCAAACCATTTGATACACGGCGCCCACTTCTGCCCCGTGCGCCGCCACCGACAGCACGCCGGCGCCAATGGCCGCCTTGCTGAGGCAAACGGCGGTGGGCAAAATGCCGCCGCGCCGGAACTTGTTGCTGGGAATCGACGAGCCCACACTCAGGCTCTCTTTGCTGCTGCATCCGCTCGCAGTGCTGCCCTGGCTGCAAACCTCCGCATCCTTTGGCTTCATCTCCATCGTGGCTTCTTGGCGTCCTGCTTTTGCAGCGGGAGATGAGTGCAGCTGTCGACTTGAGCCTCAACTGAAAGTTGCCTCCTGCGACCCTTCTGACTGCCATCTTAGTTTTCCCTCACATTGACACTGTAGGCGTTAAGACGAGTGTATCAAACAAAGACGTGAAGTACACACATTCAAAGACGCGGTGGGTGTAGCTCGAGAACCCACCATGCCGTTCTGTCGGCAGCGCTTGAACACAATGGAGACTCTTGAAGGAATATGGGCGTGGGTCAAAAATAGGTACCCAAAATGGAACCCTATAAATGGAACCAAAGACTAAAACCTGCGGTCCCCTGGTGGTTTAATTTTGACATATAGGTGTGGCCAAAAAAGGTGACTGCGCGCATCTGTGCCACAGTCACACCTAGCATCCCTTAGGGTTATTTCAACCGAGGGGTTGATGACCATCCATATTTTTTAGTAATGCAAAATATCCAACCATATTTGAATCATCCTTACCGCCGTAAACACGCACATACACACATATACAGACGCATACCATTGTCTATCTGAAGCCTATCGCGAATCGCATCGCGCCTCCCCGCCACCAAATCTGCATGCGCAATGGGTGCCTGACGCTCAAAACGCGCGGAAATCTGTCGAGCCCAACCTTGGGGACGATGACGACCCCAACAAAAACAGGTTGCTCCCCTCACACCGACCCCTTTTGGGGGCCTCAAAAACAGGTTGCCACCCGAGAGACAAAGCCAGAGAAGTCTCAGCCTGCAACACAGCTCAAAAGCGAAAACGCACAAGCTACCTCTACATGGGATATGTGTCAAAATAGGAGTTGTCCTTTTTGAACCGACCTGCACAAGGCACCCTCCAAAACACATATCTCAAGCAAAGCGCCCCGCCTCTCCGAGTCGAACACCTCCGGGTTCTCAAAGCCTCGGCAAACAAGACGTCAATTGAGTCACATTTTTTTCCTGGCATTAAAATGGTCAACCCAGAACCATGCTTCCAGAACTCAAAGGGCGACCGCTCCCGCTGGTTGGGTTGGCACTGTCCCGTACTTCACTTGCCCTTCGTTTGATTGTGGCTCAATTGGTCTTAGGTGCTCTGGAGCCGCTACGCAGCATGAGGCGCTCTCATCGAACCAAAACCACGATGCTGCCACTTTCAAGGCCAGCCCCTGCCGTTTTTCATGGTGGAACTCCTCCAGAACCCGGCATGGTGCACGACTGTCAGAAAACCGGTTTTCACAGGGTTCTCAATGTTTTCCCGTAAAACATCCCACCACTTCAGGAAAGTCACTTTAAACGGGTCCAGCATATGCTTCAACCCAGCAAAAATAAGATGGGTCTGCGCTTTTTTGTCAGGGTGGTTGTTGTTGTTTTTTTCCCCATGGAACCAAAAGGAAACCAACAACGTTCGGGGGTCCCCCAAAAAAGCAAAAACACGCCACACGCATATCACGGCACAACCCGAACCACCAGAAAACCGAAGAACAAAAACCCAACACCGGGAGCCATCGACTGCCGCGGATCGTTCGTGTGCCCCTACTTGGAGCCATGGGCCAAAATCGATCTGGGTGACCGAACTTGGGGTGTTTTCTCACTGTGATCCTTTTTCCTTTTTTGCGGCCCAGTGATTTCACGCACTTGGAGGTCATGGTGAAAACCGCGTGCTCCCCAATGAAATACAAAGCGATTGGTGTGCCCATGTCTGGAACCCAGTTGGACCAAACGCTCGTCTTTTCGTTTCAGACACATCCAACATGTCCCCTGCTTCTGCTGCCATGACACATATCACGGTGTTTGTCTCATCGAAGCCGGCGGTGATCACTTGCCCCGTGAGGCCCACAAACTCCTCCTGGATCTGATCCCATCGCAAAACATCAGCGTCGCGGATGTGAAAAGGCAACTCCTTTTTGGGGATTGAACCCCTTGAATTCCCATGTCGGCTGTGGCTCAATAAAAGATGTACCCAATGGCACCTTGGTACAGACTAAACCAAAGACTAAAACCTGCGCTTTGCCCTAGCTCCTTCATTTTGAGTTCAAGGGGTGTGCCCCTTTTGGGCGTGGTCTTTCAGGACAAAAGGACACCAACCTGGAGGCGGTTTCTCACACATCGAGCGCCTCATGGCAAGTGCTTGCCCGCCCTGAGGTGTTTTCGGGGTGGGAAACCACATGTTCCCTCTACAAAAGCCAGGGGTGCCAAATCCAAACCACAACTCCAAACCTCCAAACCAGGGTTGCCTCAGACAAGAAAGCTCTGCCAAAGGCAAGCTCGCGGCCCCAAAACAAAGGACAGCGGTTCTTAGATCTCCTGCAAGGCCTCTGAGCAACACAAATCGGAAGGCCTGGTGCTTTGAAATCATGTTTGAGCGTACTCTTTTTTTTTTGGGGGGGGGGTTAAAGGAAACCAACATTTTGGATGGGGGGGGGTTAAAGGGAGTCCCACATTTTGGAGTCCACCCCTCCCCCCCCCACCCCCATTTTGACACCCAAATCTTCTGTCCTCCACCATTGGCATGGGACTGTCCGCCACGGGCACGCAGGGGCCACCTGGAACGGAGGCTCGGAAGCTCTCAGACTCAATGGGGATCTCCTGACCTTTGCAATCTGCATGTGGATGCGGCAACATGGCCATGGGTCAAAATCCCGTACCCCCAGTGAACATCCCAATCCCCACTATAGACTCAATTGGGTGCGCCTACCCCAAAATGGGATCCCAAAACGGTCTTGACGACCACAGCCACATGGGGATCTCTCCTGATCTGCCCGCATTTTGAGTTGGGCTCCCATCCCAAACGCCTGTACGCCGGACCTCCAGTGGCTGGGGGAACAAACGAGCGCCTTTTCTTCTTTCTCTCTCTTCTCTTCTTTTTGGGGGGCGGGGGACAGGGGGGTACGGTCAACCCCTCCAAAAACAGAGCAACCAAGAAACGCGGCGCCTTTTGGCGAGTACCTGATCTCAAGCAGCCCCTCCAAACCAAAACAAGAAAAAAGCGCGGGCATGGCCGGCAAACCTTGCGATCTTCTGCCGCGGCACTACGCTTGCGCACAGCTCCCGTCTTCGCACCCGCCGAGGTCTGCCTCACAGCGCGACCGCTCCGCATGGCAGCTTCTTAGTTATGGCCGTGTCTCAAAATGTGGGGCACCCCAAAACTGTGTGGCGGTCCTGTTTGGTTTCCCCTCACAAGGTGAAACAAAGCTACCCTCCAGAAGCACAGGGATTAGGGACTGAATTGAGAGCTCCTCTCCCGAACCACGGAAACTTTGACCGGACCTCATGTCACCATGTGGGCGCTTCTCAAGATTAGGCGGACCCTTTTGACCGCAAAGAGAAACCAACAGGAAACCCACCTTTTTGGAGAACCCCCCATGTGGGTTTGTCAAATGGGGGACCCCAGTAATTAGGGTTTCCTTTGGGCTTTCCTCCAAAAACCCAACCTCCATGTGTCCCCCAGTCCCCTTGACCGTCTCGCGAGCGGAAGGTCTCCTTGCCCCCGGGCCTCAGTGCTGCTTTGGCACCTGGAGAGACGGCGCCTCGCACGGATTGGGGGAGAGCTTGGGCATGGCTGGGCTTGCTCATGCACAGCCACGGTCCATATGGGTGGCTCGTCTTGTTTTTAGGGCCCCGCCCCCCCCCCTCGCCCCCGGTGTCCCTTTAAAGCCGTGACGAAGAGGTGCCCTCAAAAGAAAGGCACCAAGATTTATTGGTGGGTGACATGGAACTTTGGACATTAATATTGACCTCGAATTTTGGCGAAGCTCTTGAAATTTGGGGCTCGTGTGGTCATCGCTCTGAAAATGTTGGGCTCGTGTGGCCCACGGCATCGACCGTGGATGACAGTAATGGACCGCAGCTCACTTCAAAAGGAGTCTGAAAAGGAAGGAAAGTGCAGTTTGATTACTTGCGGCCCACAATCATAGGTGTCCTTTTAAGGGAAATAGATGGCCCTGGTAGATGATTAAACCATCAGGTAAACCAGGGCCATCTATTTTTCTAGCAAAACAACCAAAAAGGACACCTATGCCCACAATTGTGTTTGTGGGGTGGGGGAAAGCCCAACCTCTCCCTCCCACCAAGGAGTTTCAAGGATTTAGCCAGGTTATTACGACACAAGCCCAAACCATGCTCTCACCGAACGCGCGAAACGCACCAAAACAACAAAAAGCACAGACAAAAGACAATACCAAGCCAAACAAAGGGGCGAAAACCGGAGATGAGTTCAGAAACGAAGGCTCTCCCGCCTGCAGCAGACGAAGCCGAGGCTTGGCTGAAGCTGCCAGACCTTCCGCGGCTTTGGCGGTTCCGGTCACCAGGGGACGGTAGGTTTTGGTCCTTGAGCCCATTTACCGATCGGGCAACCCATTTTGGGCACCGATTTATGACCCGCAACTAGTTGGTGCTGCGAATTGGTGGCTTGGATCTCCACATACCCTCTACAAGAACCGGGGGCTCGATCTTGACAACCTCTAAAAACAAAGCTGAGCTGAACATGCACTGCCGTCTTCAAGGGCAAAGCGAAAAGATTAGTACAAGATCTGCAGCTGGCCCTGCAATTGCCCGGGACTGCGGAACATTCGGGTGTCTTCTTTTAGGGACGCCTCCTTTTGGTTCAAAGGTTTCACCACAAGGAAGACCACACATCTTGCAAGTCCCCGGAAAGAAAAACAAACAAAAAACGAGCCACCCCCACGCCTTTCTCCACGGAACCTCTCCGCCCTCTTCCGCGTTCGATCCCTTCGACCCTTCGCCTGGGCCGCAGCTGCACCACCAGCGAGGCCGCCGAGGGCTTCCGGCCAGGGGAGGCCTCAGCTCCGAGGCTTTGGAGCCGAGAGGGCATGATGGACCCTCTTGGTTGCCTGGGTATGTTTTCTTAAATCAAACGGCAAAAACGGAGAAATCTATATATATATATATATATATATCTATATATATATATGTATATTGTCTTAAAGAGAGAAAAAAGAGAGAGAGAGAGAGAGAGAAAAAAGAAAAAGAAATCATTTGCTTGCTGGTGCGAGAGAGATGCAGGGAATGAGAGTTCTGGCTCCCGACGAAACCACCCTT